AGTAATTTATATTTGGTTTAATAATATAATTTTCTTATAAAGATAATAATTAATTATTTTGTTAGAATTCGATAATTATCTTAATCATATTTTAGATTTTTTATATTTTAAAATAAGATTTTTATCCTCTAATTAGTTATGTTTATCCGCAATTAGTTATGCGAATTCAAACATGAAGCTTTAATAAGTTGTACTTATGCATAATTTACTTGTAATCTTAAATTTTAAGTAATATGCATCAATATACAGTACTTCATGTATAAAAAATGGTTTTTAAGAGTTTTTGTCAAATGCTTTATAATCTAGTATAGATTATTTTATAAAATTTATTAAAACTTTGTAAAAAAAAAATTGTGTATATATTACATAAACAAACTTACTATATGTTCGATTCGTTTACAATTTTAATCATTTTTCATCGTAACTCCTTCGATCACAACTTTTGTTCAGTGTATCTCTTGTACACAAATGTGATCAAACATGGACTTTTCAAATCCAATTTAAAAACAGAAAAAGCATGTTTAAATTAGTAATAATGTTTAAGGGTTGTTTACCAAATTTTTTATTAAGTTTTGTATGGATAAATTTGTCTATCTGGATAAATTTGTCTGTCTGGTTAAATGGGTGTTGTTGTTTACTTTTTTTTATCTGAACCAAGAGTCTGAATAACATAAATGACCGATTTACCCCCCAATATTAATTATTTGAACATCCAAACAAAAAATCATAAAGAGGCCGACGATGGGGTATCTCATATGGGAAGGTGGGGGTGCTTTAAATAAGGGGTAGGGTGTCATTTATGTGGCTGAATGGGGACAACTCACCATTTCTATCTGTGCGATTAAGCCATTTTTCTGTGCGAATAAGCCGTAAGTAAACAACTCAAATGAGTTGTGCGAATAAACTAGATAGACCAATAAGTCTAATTAAACCGCAAGTAAACAATTACTTAATAGGATGTATTTTAGAAAATGTCTTGTTTAGTTAGCGACCACTATTTTTTTGTCACCAAAGCTTCCAACTTAGTGACCACTATTTTTTGTTATCAACATTTGTAAATATTCAATTAGTTAGTGACCACTATTTTTAGTCACTAATCATTTCAATTTAGTGACCGCTATTTTTTGTCACTAAACTTCCAACCTAATGACCACTATTTTTTGTCACTAACATTCCTAAGTAACACCAACTAGTTAGTGACCACTATTTTGGTCACTAATTATTTCAAATTCATGACTAATTTGTTTGTTGTCACTAAATAATTCATAACCCTAAAAATGTGAATAGTATTTTGATGTTGAGATATGTGAGTAAAAAGTTAGTTGGGTGCGAGGGAACTGGTTTTTAGTTGATCCGTTGCTGATCTGCGATGGATATTTTCCTTCGCTAATAGCCGTCGCTATTACTCTATTTTCTAGTAGTGAGAAAAAATTACATAAAATCACAATTCCATAGTTTTACAAGTTTTGTAGCTATTTGCACATGGTAGTTACGTTGAGTTTGACAAAATCAAGTGAATTCTTTTTTATATCGATTCAATTTAGGACCCCATTTTGACATTTGAGGGTGCAAAATGAGTAAAAGAGAACATTGTGGTTTGGGCATTCGGGTGCATTTACAGAAATCCAGAAACTTGATGAGACTTGAACCCCTTATAAGTAAAATGTTCTAGAAGACGGAACAAGTAAGGAAGATCGAGTGAGATGGGATAATATCTGACTGGTTTAAAATGAACGTGACTATTGATTTTGTCGTATATTTGATATGATTAAAATATAATAAATTCTTATTGTACATCTTAGGTTTGATAAGTTGAATTAAACAAGATAAAAATATTAAAATGATTCTAAAATATTATTTAATATTTTTCATCGTATAATAATTATAAATTACACACATCACCTTAGTATTTAAATAATTTTACAAAAGTTAAAAAGAATTTTATTTATAAAAAATACAACACTTATATCTTATAAATAATTTTAATTGTAAAATGTTCCACATTTTCTTACTAATATGTATATCTTACATATGTAAATCCTATTCATACAACGCACAAACACACAGGTTTGATACCTTATATACAAAGCCACACACGGAGCAATAACGAGTGTCGCACATCAATTGTGGACGGCTCTAATATCTGAAAGGAAATACGACAGTATTGATTGGTTTTCCCTTACATATCTATTGCTATGAAATATATGACGAAACTTTTTGAGACGTTAAAAATATGATTTCTTTACATTCTAGGATAAATCCTCGTGAAGCGATAATAGAGTTTATCTAAGTAAATGTACTTTAAGGGCCATTTATTATCAAAAACATTTTTTTATATTGTATTTACATTTACTAGCGTTTTAAAGAAATATTATTGCATCAAGAATCAAAATAAACTAATTCTATAATGATATATTGTACAAAGTTCAAAAATAAATAATTTAAGATTTTTATTATGTTATTTTTTGAATCGTAGATTTCAATGATATCATTTTTTCGTCAAGGAATTGTGAAATCTTTTTTTTCGCTAAGGTATATGATACAATATTTATAATTATATTGATGTTATCAACTAATGTTACAAATATAAATCAATGAATATAATGGTTAGTTTGATGAATTTTTTTTTAGGTTCAATTGACACTATAATATTAAATAATTATTCCACTTCTAATAACAATAACAAAGGTATTCAATTTTCAAAATTAATTGTTGAGTCATTGAATTAACAATTATTGATTCCTAAGATTGTTGTCATTAAAGTTGTAATATCATTCCTTGTACATCTTAGTATAAATCTTAGTATAAATCTATGATTGAAGTAACAATTATATATTAAGCTAAATAGTCATAAAATTTGGATGATAAAAAATGTCTAAATGGTTTTGCCAAACCTTATTATATTGTAGTCGCATACAATTCAAACAAAATAAAAGGGAAACATGTTTTCATCAAATATAAGTTGCTTAAAGTTTATGGAACATCAAATGAGCTCCAAACTCAGGTTGAAGAGTTAAGAWGGTATGCGGAGAATGAGAGTATGACGGAGATAGATTAAAGCTAAAGTTTTGTAGAATCATAGCAAGTGTCATTTTTGCTTCAAGGAAAGCAAAATTTTGTCCGACACATATACGTGGCCCCCCACCGAATGGAAAGTATGATGATTGTCCCTTGGTTGCTTTTGACACACCTTCGGAAAATCTCTCAGGGTTGAACTCCTTCACATCATCCCCCCATATTTCCTCGTCATGGTGCATCAGCAAGATGTGTAAAAAGACGTAAGATCCCGCTGGTAAAATTATGTTTCCTAATTTGGTGTCTTCATTTACCATTCTTCCTAGTGTTGCCACTGACGGATATAACCGAAGAACCTCATTGAAGATCATGTTAAGCTGTGACAAAGAACAATTAAAATACAATAAAAGGTAAGCACTATAAGAGGACGTTTCTTTGATATATCGATAGGCTTACAATTTTAAGACGACTTAATCCATCGATATTCAGTTTTTCCTTCCCAAAGACGAGTGAAACTTCGTCTCTTGCACGTGCTTGCCAATTTGTGTGTTGACCCAACAAGACCATAGTCCAAACAAGCAAATTTCCTGTGGTCTCTTGTCCAGCGATGTAAAAAAGCTTGCACTCTTCTATGATTTCCTTGATGCTTAATCCAGAATTACTACTTCCATGTTTTTTGATTTCTTTGGAATTCGAATCCAAGAGCACACCCAACAAGTCATCTTTAYTATTTTCCCCAGCTTTCATAGCGATCATTCTTTTATCAATGATACTCGTTATCAAAGCATTCATTTCTCTGTCTATTTCCTTTATCCTGTTATTTCTTTTTGTTGGCAATAAGCTACAAAGTTAAGTTTGATTATTAGTAAATAATAACTCTTCCTTGCCAAATATTAGGGGCACCCAACTTTGATAGTCGAATAAAAACAATTCATAGTGAAAATATAAAGTATCATGTTTTTCAATGGAAAATATATGGTGAGATGCATATACTTGTACATTTTGGTAATTGAAAAGATATAATATATATATATATATATATATATATATATATATATATAGGGGTACATTCAAGGAATAACTAATTAGTTTGTGATAACTGTGAGATCCAATCTCAACAACAACTCAATGGATAAATTAGGAAACTAATATTTTTGGTACTTTGACTTAAAATTATAATTAAAACACATTTTAGGTATTGTAAATTTGTTATCTCTCCTATCTCTCTCTCTCCTACCTCCGGCCTCCGACGAACACCATGTGATACTCTGAATACACCGAGATACACAATGTCATACCCAAAATACATACAATGTGATACTCAAAACATACCAAGTAACTTTGGTACCACTGTGATACCAACTATGGTACCACTGTGACACCAACTATGGTACCACTGTGATACCAGGTGTCGGGAATGCTCACAGGTGGATGTTTAGTGGTCGATCATCGAATACGACGTCTTGGTAAGACAAGATGACCAGAGGAGGTCACCGGAGTGGTGGTGGGTGCCGGAAAAGGCCATTGGATTTGGTCCCTGTGTGTCCGTGTGTGTGTCTATATATACATATATTAAAATAATTAAACTAATTAAAGTAAATTGATTAATCAACACAATTTACTAATTTACCCTTTGTTTGATTTTAGTAAATAACATTAATTATCTAAAAAAATAACATATAAAAATTTTGTTAAAAAACACTCACTTTGATCCCGGAATATAGATGGATTGTATAGTCTCTAGAACTAAGCCAAATAGTTCTTGTTGTAGTTCAAATATTCTTTTCCCTTCCTCAAAACTACTACCAAATGCTGTACGTGAAATCACATCACGTGTCAATGTTTGGAGGTAAGGCCACACATCCACTTCGCACGAACCTTCATTTTGTAACCTTTCTTCCCATTTCTTTATCATCTCAGCACAACCCATATAAAATTTGGGCACCATATGCTATCAAAAAGTAATTGTTATAATTTTCAAGTTTAAGCAAGAAAGGTCGGATTTATGATAACATTAACTTTCATGTTGTAATACGTAAGGCAAGAAGAACAAACCTTGAGCTTCTCGACATGAAAAGCTGGATTGATGATTTTTCTATGTTTCACCCATCGATCACCTTCAGTGGCTACTATACCTTTAACAAGAAACTTTTTAAATGGATGTCCTCCGGTCTGCTTCGGAAATTTATTGTAATTAGCTAATATCTCCTTTATCATAGTCGATTCGGTGATATGCACACAGGGTCTCGGCCCCAACCATGTGAAGGCACAATTCTTGCCTATACAATTAAAAAGTATTATTTATAGTCATGTAAAACGATCGTAATTGAAAGCAAGGTGACAAATGTACTGAGAATTTTAGGAAGAATTCATTTTATTTTACTGTTTTTGGATATGTAATTATGCTAGCTATGTGTATATTTGATTTATAAGTTTTCTTAATAAAAGGGTATTTTAATCAGATATTTCAATTATTCATCCAAAAAATTTCAAAATCAAAATTGCATTTATTGAAACTTATATAGTAGTTTTTAAAAGCTTGTTGTTTCTTAGTTTAAACCAAAATCATAAAATGATAATTATAATGCGTCAAAGATAAGTTTTATGTAGTATTAGATAACTTACTATATATACAAAACACAAATATAAAACTTAAAGTCAATTCTTAGAAAATAAATAATCGGAGAAGTTATCATCATAAGTAACAAAAATAAGGAAAAGAAAGCAAGAATTCGTACCGTAAGTACTGACGGTTTTATGAATAAAAGGTTGGATCCGAGTAACTATATCGTTCGTAAGATTGATCATGGGTCCAGATTTTTTGGCCTCCTTTGCCATCTTCACCATCTCTTTCATGTCTCCAAAAAAAAACTTGTAGGAGCTTCCCTTCAGCCCTTGCTCTCTTAGATACTTCTCCATCTTTTTTGGTCTCAACCAAACCCAATTCACAAATCTCCACCCATACCACACGACTAGTACAATTACTACTATTCCAACACCACATTCTGTTACGCTTACTTTCATCTTGGAGATAGTATGCACAACATAGTAGTCTGAATCTTGTGAATGTGGGAATTGAATAAGAAATTAAGAGATATTTATCTTTGTACAATGTTCACTTTAGCTACCCTATACTTTTGAGTAACTTATAATTATGCCTTGTTCTTTGTTTTCTTTTTCATTGGAGCCCACGTATTATCGAAGCAAGTAGATTGAGCACACACCATATATGACCTAGTTAACACCGCATTATTTGATATCAGATCATGGTCTCCATGATGTGGGCATAACATGGGCCTAATTTAATTAAGCCGAAAGACAAGAAACCTTAAATTGATAATTGAATTTTAGGATTTACACATTTTCGGTATCTATAACTTGAGGTATACAACAACATTTTCTTTGCACACCCTCAAAACCGTTAGTTTGCTTGTACCACTACAACAAATTCCGGTTTACAGGGCAACAAATTTGTTCGAGTGTCTAACAGATAACTTTATAACATCTAAAAAGGAATCCAGACTTAAATTTTTCTAAAACATTTGAAACATCAAAATATATATATATATATATATATATATATATATATATATATATATATATGGTTGTCAATTAAATTCAGGACCCCTTGGGAGATGGGAGTTGAGGGGGATTACATAACTATGTGATAAGAAATTAAGAATGCACTCGACACGTGGCGATAGTTGGTCCCTTCATGAGCAACATGTCTTGGGGTTGGACCCGCAAGCCTATCAATATTACCGGCACAACTAATGGCACCTGATGTTCCACGTGAATTAGCTATTAAGACTCTTTTTGGTTGATTTTTTATTAAGTTGGACGTATATAAAACTATTTGTATACATTGATTTGTTTAGGGAAAACAATTTATTTTAGGGAAAACTTCACAAATACGAAATCAACTTTTTCATTTTAAATGGTTTAGTCTCTATTTTTTTAAATGAAAAAACCATTATATGAATGATCAAGTTCCTGAATATTTTTTTAATAAATAAACTTCTCCTCTCCTCCAGCGATCATTGTTCCTCCTCTATAGATCGATTGATGCTCCTTCTCCTCCAGAGTCCGCTGCTCCCTCGACCCTCTTCATCTCTAGTTGCTCAATTTCTCCAAACTCAATCTTCTCTCTTGTTTCTCACTCGATCATTTGTTCCTAAAATTGAGCCATTTTTGTTCCTGAAATCTGCCCCTTGATTTTTTGCTAGGTTATTGGGTGTTTCCGAAAATCAAGCACTCAATTTTTTGTTGATTACAGTGGCAATCAGACCAATGTTTCTATGTTAGGGTTCTTCATCTTTCTTGCTTGTTGTGAGTTTCTTTCTTAGGGTTCTTCATCTTTCTTTTTTTTTTTCTTGTGATTTAGGGTTTGATGTGAGTTTTTGATTTAGGATTCAAATTTAGTTTTTATACGCTTTCTGGGATGAATTTTTACTAAACTATTGTTGATTTTGGGTTTGATTTTGATCTATTGTTGCTCTGATAATCGTAGGAGACTGGTTTTCCTTTAATGTAAAATAAAGGGTAAAATAATATATTTTCACCATTCAGACCGTTTATTCTGCATAACAACTGAACAATAACTTATCAATTATCATAGAGACAGTTTTATCACTATAGACAACTTTATTCATGCATGACTTGATAAGAAAAAAATCTGAACAATTTCTTAATCATTCAAAATGAGAAAATTTAATGGTTTAAAAGGTAAGTTTAAATACTAAACCATTTAAAATGGAAAAATTGGCTAAGTTTTTTTTTTTTTGAGTTCCCATATTTAAATTTATATTGTCATTTACTTCACCATAATGACTTTCTTTTTTATCGTCATTAAACTTCATAAATGAAAACCATTATTTTTGTTGACTTTATGACTTATTTGACTTCACAACTGTAACATGTAATTACGTATATAAACCAAAAACTCTCATTGGCGGACCTACATGTGTAATAATGCATTTACTTATCAGAGAGAAAAAAAAGTTGTGTCAAAAGAATCACAAGGGGATTTTTATTCTTACTTGGATTTGAACCTGAGACATCCTGATACTTTTGATCTTTGGAGTCAAACTTAAACCAATCAGACACCACCATTGTGGTTAAGACAACTTTATTTCGTCGGAAATATAGACAGATTACCGAGGGAATACATACAACTTTAAAAATCAAAAAATTATGACAAATTAAATGATATATGTATATATTAATAAGTACTGATGGATCATATGGAAGGTTTAGTTTTTCTTCTTTTATATCGTTGTAATAAGTTATGATGGGTCTTAATGGGCTTGAATTGGTCGTAATGGGTCTTCAATGAGTTGTTGTGTACCTACCTTATTATGTATAACATATAACGTATTTGGTCATAGCGGCTATATATGTATGATGTATATGCAATATATAGTGAGCAAATTATGTATAACATGGAAGCTAGGGAGTAAGGAGCAAACTATGTACGCAAATATTAATGCGAGATAGCAATTAATGGACGTGATGATTAAAGCTATCGAGACCATCATGCTTGCCAGATTTCTCGAGCCCTCTCGGGGCCTCATCCTCCTAGCCAATGTGATTGTTAAGCCTTAATTGATATGTACATTAGATAATTACTAGAAGCGTACTCGTGCAATGCAGCAAAATAAATCGTGATTTTAATATTTCATTTTATTGTTTATCTCAGTCGATGTTATAATATGACTTTATGTGATTTTGAGAAAACGATG